GCAGCACAGAAGTAAACTGCACTGCTGTTCAGGCTGAGTTCTTCTATCGTTAAAGTGCAGGTTTCTCCTTTATTTGCACCTCCTTCAATCTTCACATTCACTCCTTTCTCTACATTTTCTTTTCCTACATAAAAGTATCCCAGGAGCTGCAGTTGAGTATTCGTTTGCTTGTACCAGAGGATTATATTATAATTATCAACTTTGTGTGAACATTTGATTTCAGCCGTTTGCTTCTCTTCTTTGATCACATCGAGTGGAGTTTGACTGACTTGGTCTCCAAGGGAGGAACCTGTGGAAAAGCACGAAAACGAACATCACTTTGGATTCAGATAAAATTTGTTTTGACGAATATAATGAAAATCAATTTGACTCATTACCTGAGACCCATAAGACATGAAAGGTTATGCAGAAGCCTGTGATGATCAGATGATGTTTCATGGGTGAGTTTAATGGCATCCTTCTTGTTGCTGCCCTGTTTGCAGTATAACTGAAGATTCACCCTTCATGCAGGCCTCATTCATCCATCAGGAAATGTGTTCTAAGTGGGTGGAGCCTTCATGTGTCATTCCATCTTTTCAAATCTTCCATGATACCCTACAGACATACTGCCCTCTGCATGAAAATGACTGAAACAACAAAGACCTGAACTGAGCTCCAAACCCTGGTTTTTGTCCACTCTGAAATGGATATATTAATAGTTTAAATGAAAAGGAACTGAACTTACCTGTTGGTTCCCTAAACGTCCTGGATTACCCGTTAGGATTAAACTAACACACTGGACTCTTGCTAAGAGTTTAATGAGGAGATCATGTCAGTTTTCATCATGGTTTATAAAACTGATGCGTTACAAAACTCAGAAAACTTTGGATTCCTGATCATTAAAGCAGAAATCTGATAGATAGCAGAGTTTCTCTCCCAGACTGGAAATGATCACAATGAGGTCAGATTTATTCATGTCTCTGGACTTTCAAACAAACAATTCAGCGCTCGAATCTCATTCAGACTACAATATATTCATTTTAGGCCTTTTCAGTTTTATCATTAATCAACATAGGACATATAATTTAGCCTCACTGGTGTGTATTTAGAGATGTTAGACTCCTCTCCAGTAAAAACCTGACACATTAATTCGTGATTGTAATCTTAGGGGAAAACCATATAAGACTAGAATGCAGGTGCAAGTTGTCATGAGCCATAAAAGAAAGACTAGAAAAAAGAGAAATGTGTGATCAGGAGGTTTTTGTATTGAGGAACAGTGAAATGTTCCACTGTGTAGACTAGCAGCACAGAAGTAAACTGCACTGCTGTTCAGGCTGAGTTCTTCTATGGTTAATGTGCAGGTTTCTCCTTTATTTGCACCTCCTTCAATCTTCACATTCACTTCTTTCTCTAAAAATATGTTCCCTAGATACAAGTATCCAAGGAGCTGCAGTTGTGAGTTTGAGTGCTTGTACCAGAGGATTCTATCATAGATGTCACTCTTGTGTGAACACTCAATGTTGATTGGTTCATTAAGCCTATTGATCATTTCCTCTGGATACTGCTGGACTTCATCCTCACATGAGAAACCTATGGAAAAATTAACAGGATTAAGATTCGCGATTTAAAAAAAAAAAAAAATCAGATATGAGCCACTGCAGCCAGATATAAATGTTCCAAATACTTTGAAGTAATTACCTGATATCATCATGGTTATAAAAGCAACGCTAAGAGGAAAGACGAGCATTTTGTGGTCAAAGAGTTCCGGTTGTGTCCCCTAAAGTATCAGAAGTGATGTTTATTATACCCAGCTTCCTTCTGAGTCACCCCTCCAACAGCATCAAATGTAGCATCATCAGATGGGTGGTGTCAAAGTAGGTCCTTCTCTGAGTTTCTCACTGGTCATAAAGGTCTGATGCTGCCACCTAATGGATAAATAATTGCACAGATCAAAGGTTCTGTTCTGTAATGCACACGTGGAAAAGCCTTATGAGGTTTTTGTATTGAGCAGCAGTGATATGTTCCACTGTGTAGACTAGCAGCACAGAAGTAAACTGCACTGCTGTTCAGGCTGAGTTCTTCTATGGTTAGTGAGCAGGTTTCTCCTTTATTTACATTGCCATCTATTTTTACACCCATTCCGGTCTCTGGAGCTGCAGAGTATGGT